TGGGAGCCAATGCACATAGCCATACCAGTGAAGAAAAAAATGAACATTAAGAGTAAGCCCTCTTCCTGTTTCTGGTTGAAACTGGTCTCTAACCTAACCTCCACTGTTGTAAAAACAAGACCTGTTTTCACCCAACACAAAAAAGTCCCAGGAAAGCATCAAGCCAGTTTCCAAGAGACAGTGTGTCCATCCAAGGGGAGTGAGGGAGGACACCTGACGCAGGAGAACAGGACCCAGCATGGAGTTACTTGTAGCAAATATATACTGAAGGGCTTAGAAGTGACAAAGTACACAGGGAGACACTGCGACTTTTTAACCCAGAGTTTCAAAAATCCAGAATTCTAGTTGCAATGCATTTTGTTTCTTGTGTGCATGTGTCTGATAGGTGACTTAACAGCATCTGAATGTGTAGACATGAAGCGTTTCAGAGTATCGAAGGAGAGTCAGTGTATCACGGGACTCCTTAGGCAATGAAAGCCGAGTGCAAGCATGTTAAAAGATGTGAATGAATAACTAACACCATTTAATCTACACCAAAACCTTATGAAGTAGGTATTATTTAAAATAGGCATTATGGGACTGGGTGTTTAGCCTAGCACATAAGAACCCACATCCATGCTGGAACACTAGGGTTCAGTTTCCAGCTCCAGCTCCTAACTCCAACTTCCTGTGAACGCAGATCCTGGAGGCAGGGGTGATGGCGCAAGTGACTGCGAGCTATGGGAGACCTGGATTGAGTTCCCATTTCCCAACTTTGGTCACAGTCCAGCCCCAACACAGCTCTGGTCCCTGTGGGCATTTGGAGAGTGAATCACAGGATAGGAGATTCAGTCTCCTCTCTCCTCTCTTCTCTCTCTCTCTCTCTTTCTCTCTTTCTCTCTCTCTTATAGTGTATCTGTGTGTGTGTATGACTGCCTCTCAAATAACTATAATTTCTAAAAAATGCTTTTTTTTTACAATAACTAGAAAAGATACTATTCACTTCTATTTTGGGGTAAGAAAATTTAGACTTAGTATAAAGCTCAGTGGCTTACTTAAAGCATATCTAGAGCAAGTGGCAAACTGGTCCAGTCAAGTAATCCCAAAGGATGGTTCCTTCTCACCGTGCCACAGTAACTTTTCTCCCTTTGTAGTCAATCTATTCTTCCCAAAAGCTGTCAAAGAATTCATAATCGCTCATAATCATTGAGCCCTGCTGATGCTGCCTGATCTGTAGTGTTGTATGTCACTGAGCCATTTCCCATTCTATTTATTTTTCTCTTTTTCATGCCTTTTTTACTTTATTCTTTTTGCATTTTTAGGACTTGCTTTGTTTAATATTAAGTTTTTATTTTCTTTGTATCAAAATAAATGAACTTAGAGCTATAAATTTCCCTCTGGCACAGCTTTAGCTGCATCCACCAGTTTTGGTATATGAAGCATCTTCAAAAAGATCATGAAAATGTATGTTATGAAAAAACTGTACATGTATTAAAGAACGTTTGCATCAAAAACAGAAATCTTTGTAAATTTCAGTTTGAATTCATCTATAACCAATCGATTACTTGGATTCTTATTTTCTCCAAAAAAATCTCTTCTTACCTTTTTAATACTGATTAATAATTTAATTGTAATGTTAACAGATAACATGGATTATATAACAGTTTGGAGTATATGAGATATCTTCTAAGACCTTGAACCTGGTTATTTCGAAAAGTTATCCATGAATCTTTGAGCCTCACCATGAGAGACCTTGATAGCCTACTTAGTCTATAAGCTCATCTCAGTCTACTATTGATTGGTAACAGGCAAGTCTTCTCCCAAGGATTATTTCTATAATCCATCTGAAAGTTCCAAAGTAATATATCTGCTGCTGTGGAAAGGAGATTCCGTAAATAGGAAAAACAGCACCATCAAAGACAGAGTTTATGTTTGTACAGAAAGTAGGTTTCAATTTAAAGGCAAAACAAACATCACTGCTTCATAAATTAAATCTATGTAGTTGAAAACCTGATTTGAAATTTACGCTAGACAAAATACCTCCTTTTAGAATGACGGATAGATGATAAATAGGTGGATAGATAGATGGATAGAGAGAGAGAGATGATTTAGATTCCCAACATATGGGATGTGAGAATTACGCTATAACATAATACCTTCTTTTAGAATAACTGATAGGGATGACAGATGATAGACAGACACATGACAGGTAGGCTGAGAGATTCACAACAGGTTGGCTTTGTCAAAATGTATGTGCGTTCTTCAGGTTCTGGACTCATGCAAATAGTGGGTTGTAAATACTCACAGCTCAACTGTCTGACCAGCAGGTGGCACATGCCCACCTGCTAGTGAGCACAAACCAGTAACTTAGCTGCCAGTACCTTTTCTACCTGCTGCTGTAAATAGCAGTGAGTGCTCAGATTCAGGTTTTTATATTAATTTTGTTTTCACCAAAGTTATTTTTGCCCTTTTGTCTGTTTAAAATATTACCTGAGCCAGATGAAAATTAGATTCTATTTTTAAAACATTTAATGGCATTTATTTTTCAATGCTGTTCTATTTTCCTGACCCTACTCTTAAGATATTCAGTGTGTTAATATTATTTATAACAAGTTGAATCCTTAACAATCAATAAAAATCTATAATATAATAATATAAATGGACACCTTACATGGCAGAAGACTTGATTGAATTTCTTTTGGAGATTAGACTGGCAGAGTGATTTTTTGTTGTTGTTTGAGAGGCAGGGAGATAGACAGACAGTGACAGTTACCATTGGTTCACTCCCCAAATGCCCATCACGCCAGGGTTGAAATGAGGAATGCTATCCTGGTCTCCCACAGAGATGACAAGAACACAATTACTTGAACCAATCACTGCTACCTCCCCAGGTCTGCATTAGAGTCAGGTGTCAGAGCTAGGAATTGCATCCAGACACTCTGATGTGCGCCACGGGCAGGTCCTCTGCTAAGCCAAACATTCACTACCAGAAAAGAGAGATATTTTTTTAAGCCCTGATTTGAAATTAATTAATTCACTAATGAATTTCCATTTTATTTGACAGGCAGAGAGTCAGATAGAAGCAGGTAGGGGAGAGGACAGAGAGGTGACTTTTCCATTTCCTGCTTCACTCCCCAAATAATAGCAACACCCAGGGCTAAGCCAGGCTGAAGCCAGGAACCTGGTGCTCAATCCAGGTCTTCCACGCAGGTGGGAGGGACTGCGCTACTTAAACCATCATATGCTGCCTTCCTGGGGGGCATGTTAGCAGGAAACTGGATCAGAAGTGGACTTGGGACTTGAACCAGGCATTCAGGTGTGGGATGCAAGTATCCCCAGCAGCGACTTAACCACCACACCAAATGCTCACACCAGGACAGATTTTTAACATGCTAACTAAAGACCCTAGGAAAGGGTTAGTGGAGGAACTTTAAGAGGCCCATGAATCCCACACAGTTAGGTCAAAAAAATGTTGCAAATGTTTTTTTTCTAAGTGCAGTTATAGGCTTTATTATTATTCTCTAGGACAAGGAAAACATGTAAAAGTTGATACAGTGGTAGACACATTTTCTTTGAATTACTATAAACCTAAATATGAAGAACTTGGACATTTTCAATTATTTCTGTTGCACATTTATATTGCTTCTCTCAAATGGTATCCTTTTATCTTCAGATGAGTTTATTTTAGAATCAAGTTAATCTCAAGAGCCACGAAGTATTTAGACTTTTCAAACTTTCTGTAGCTGTCATTGATTTGTTCTGTAAAAATATTCAGTAGTTTAACTTTCTCAAACTGGTGTTATATTTAGCCATTTCTGCATTTCCAGGCACACAGCATTTAATTAAAGGTCCCTTTCCACTTTTATTTAAATAGTCTTCTTGCTTCCTGCTCTCTCACACTGAGCCAAAACCTTAGTAAAAAACAAGGTTTTATGAAACATTTTGGATTAAAAAAAAAAAAAAAAACTGAAAGACCTCCCAATAGGAAACTTCAGAAAACAGCATGTAAAAAAGGTATACACTGAAGTTATGAGAGGGTTTGAAAATGTTCACAGAAAATGAAATTAAAAGTTCATTTTGGTGCAAAAGTGTTTGAAATCCATGCACAGACTTTTCATAATATGCATTTTCCATGCTCTCTTTGGAGACCCCTTATACAAATATAAAGCAACCTAATGTTTATGGAACTAAATTCAAATATATTAAGTTATATATATACACATAAACATATATATATTATATATACACATATGTATTATATATAAAATATATATACATTACTAACAAAAATCTTTCCCTGACTCACAATCATGTTTCTCAAAGAGGAAGGCTTTAAATCAACAGGTCTAATCAGTTAAACACTTGGTTTAAGCAGAAAACAATTAATTAATTGGATATCGAGTAATTCCCAGAATCAGTAAGAGTTCAAGAAAACCAGTAAGATGGCAAGAAGTTAGGAAACCATGTCCAGAAATGCTCAGCACTGGTCTAGTGAGTAAACACGACATCTACTACTGAATATTAGATGTCGCCCTTCGAGCTGCCATTATTAGCAAAGCTACTAATCACTGCCCCTAACACAACTTCCATTACTGTCCCTGGAAAGCAGACCACGTGCTCCCCCAGAGCCTGAATTGCCACTGTCACTACATTTTCCACCACTTCTGCTGCTGTGTCTTTCCCACTGACCCCACCACGCACACCACTGTCAGCACGCGAGAGAGGGTGCTGCAGTCTCTCTCCGAGACTACGCCAAGAGCAAGAGCACATTTCCTAGTTGCAAAGCAAGCTTGAAACTGAACACCCAAGGTTTACAGCATTCATGGTGACAAACGACCATGATGCTCACCCAAACTGGCAAAATGAGGATCCAAATGTAGAAAGGAACTGTAGCACTTGGCAGAGAAAAATAATTAAGTTCTTCTAGTAAAACACCCACGTGTGTATTTAGGTGCACATAACTGCATGTGAGTACATGAAAGCAATCAGGACCGTGTCTTTCACATCAAATACACACTCACCACCACAACCAAGGACTCCCAGTGAGCATCCAGATCTCTTGAGAACGCCTACTCCTTTCTTACTCCAGCGTAATCCTGTTCCAAGATAAAAAAAAAAAAAATCATCTTTAAAGTATGGACTAACCCAAGTGATCAATTTCTGTTCACAACTGATCATAATCATAGGACTAAGAATCAAAGGGATCACATAAACAAGACTAGTGTCTGCAAATACTAACCGATAGAATAAAAAAGGGAGAGAACGATCCAACATGGGAAGCAGGATACACAGCAGACTCATAGAATGGCGGATGTCCTAAACAGCACTCTGGCCTCAGAATCAGTCCTTAAGGCATGTGGATCCAGCTGAAAAGCCCATGAGAGTATTGCAGGCATGGAAAGCCAAGACACTCTGGCAAAAAAATAAAACAAGACTAATGAAAGATCTATGAAAGATCTCCGCGATTGAGATCCCAGTGGAAAGAACAGGTCATCAAAGAAGGAGGTACCTTTCTCTGAAGGGAGGAGAGAACTTCCACTTTGACTACGACCTTGTCTAAATATGATCAGAGTCAGTGAACTCAAAAGGCTTCCATAGCCTTGGCAACTCATGACAAGAGCCTAGAGTGATTACTGATGCCATAAACAAGAGTGTCAATTGGTAAAGTCAACAACAGGAGTCACTGTGCACTTACTCCTCATGTAGGATCTCTGTCCTTAATGTGCTGTACATTGAGATTTAATGCTATAACTAGTACTCAAACAGTATTTTTCACTTTGTGTTTCTATGTGGGTGCAAACTGTTGAAATCTTTACTTAATATTTGCTAAACTGATCTTCTGTATATAAAGAGAATTGAAAATGAATCTTGATGGGAATGGAAGGGGAGAGGGAGTGGGAAAGGGGAGGGTTGCGGGTGGGAGGGAAGTTATGGGGGGGGGGAGCCATTGTAATCCATAAGCTGTACTTTGGAAATTTATATTCATTAAATAAAAGTTAAAAATGTATATATAAGGAATATCATTATATTGGTACTATGATTTTTTTCCACAGAGCCAATAAAACCCAAAGAACAAATGAAGGAAAAAAAAGTATGGACTAACATGAAATAATATGAGAGAGAAGGAAATAGAGAGAGAAACAAAAATTAAAGACTGTTTTGTATTTTCCATCTTTATACCCAAAGGTTGGAAGACTACAGTTGTTATTTATGGCATGCATCTCTAATTAATAGTTCCATTTAATTTCCTATTCCTGCAGCCAACACCTAATTTGACATGCATTCTCTGCACAAGTTTTTGACCTACACCTTAATTTCTTCAAAACCAATATCTAGAAGTCCTGCCTCCAAAATATTGCTTTTTATTCCATCTACTGGAGATGGATGTACAGATATCTCCCAGGTTTTCACTATTCTTCTTCCAGTCTCCATTGTATAGCAGCTAACCTGTCTGTGTTTGCGAGTCAGGTGACATCACCCAAGACAACACCACAACCCTTGATAGTTTGCCTTTCATTAGATGGCATTTAGAGTCCAAAGTTTCCAGGTGAAAATTTCAGCTTCCAATTACTGGATCTCTGGAAAGCATCCACCCATGGTAAGACAAGATATCAGCAGGAAGAGTGCATAGTTTATACATGATGAGCAAATTCTGTGACTATGAGAGAGAAAGTACCATTTAATGCACCTGAGGCATCCGAGGAGAAAACACTTAAAACTCATGGGTTTGCTTCCCAGCTGGCACTTAACTAAGTCTTCCACTGTTTCATAAGAAAACGTCCTTCTCAATGTTGGGTATATGTTAGACCCAAGAACTCTCATTCAGATCAGCCTGTTGTGCCGCAAATACGTATCTACTGAATAGCAGCTAGACAAACAGCCTCAATGAGCTGTGTAAGAAGCATCTGTCTACCTCACAGTTAGAGCTTCCGAGCCAACAAATCCATTCCCATGTTGAAAACATTGCTGCCACTGGCACTGTACACTATATAGAATTGTGTCTGTCCAAGGAACTTTCCATATAGGCAAATAAATAATGAAGCAGAGACCAGAGACACAGGAACAGGGAGCAAATGTGAATGGAATCCTGATGTTAACAGTAATAACAGAACCTGGACCTAAGTTGTCATGATGCTATGTAATCTCCAAGAAAATTAAATACCTTGGAAGATTGGATGGGAGTTGAATCAACAGAGGTTTGCAAGATTCGGTTCTCACCGCTGAGTAGGAAGAGGAACTGGAGATTGAACCTAAATTCAATTATAGGAAAAGTAAAGTTGCCCTTTCGGGACATGAGTTTAGCACCACCAGAAATTCGTCCTTCTCTGTATTTGCAGTGTAGACTACAATATCCTCTTGACTGACAGAATTTTCTCCAGCCACACTCATTGAATAGTCAGTTGTAAACATGAAATTTAAATGATCAACAGTTCAAAATTTTTTCTCTAGATGCAATGGTGACATTTAATTTCTGGAGCTCATGAACCATACCACATTTATTCACTTATTTACTTATTTCTCTTAACACTTAGAATAGTACCCTTCACAAAGAGTAAATTCCTGGCCGGCACTGCGGCTCACTAGGCTAACCCCCTACCTGCAGCACCAGCACCCTGGGGTTCTAGTCCCGGTCGGGGCGCCGGAGTCTGTCCTGGTTGCTCCTTTTCCAGGCCAGCTCTCTGCTGTGGCCCGGGAGTGCAGTGGAGGATGGCCCAGGTGCTTGGGCCCTGCACCCGCATGGGATACCAGGAGGAAGCACCTGGCTCCTGGCTTCAGATCGGCACAGTGTGCCAGCTGCAACGTGCCGGCCATAGTGGCCACTTGGGTGAACCAACGGAAAAAGGAAGACCTTTCTCTCTCTAACTCAGCCTGTCCAAACACACACACACACACACACACACACACAAACACAAAGAGTAAATTCCCAAACATGCTTAATGAATAATGAATAATGTAGGAAGAAGCGCTCGCACAACGTGGTGGTGTCAGCTGTGTTGTATCAGCAGCAATGGACCACTCCACCACCCCATTCTCTTCCATGCATACTTCCACTCAGTGAAACTCCAGCTGAGTAGAATAAGGAACATTTCTAACATTAAACTGATCGCCACCCGGCTCTCTTCTCCAGAGTTCCCACATCATCTGTTATCAAGTCGAGAGTTAGAACAGAATTACCACCCCAGGGACCACCTGGTAAAAAGGCTGACAGCACACATCCGGTGTTGGGCAGTGGTGGCCCACGCAGGCTCACAGGGACCACCTATTTCCCGCCTTCCTCCTAAGATCAAAGGCTATTTCCTGCTGGCTGCTTCAACTTCGGCAGTTCATTGTAACTACGCCCAAAATAAGACTGAAAGAACGGGACTTATTCCAAGATGGTTTTGTTCCAAGATGGCGGCTTGAAAAGTTTCATTTATTGTGCCTTTTGATGCAGTTGCTCTCAAGTAATTTTAGGAAATAACACAAGTTATTCTTCAGATTTTGAAAAGCAGGAAAGGATAACACAGACGGATTACATGGAGAACATGTCTTTAGAAAAACATAGTTCCTACTATGTTCTGTGTTGTGACACTTGATTCAGAAGGCCCTAGGCCCAAGACTTGAGGAGTCTTTCCAAACGAGGAAAAAACTGAGATATACTGATTTTTAATTTTTTTTCATGAACATGCGTTTCTATGGTAACATACTAACTATGAGTTAGAGGAATACTGTGTAGTGCCACTTTGGTAGTTGTAGATGACAAGGTATCATCACACATAATAGACTCAAAACGCTGATTTTTCAATTACCTTAAAACACTGAAGCCATTTTCCCCACAAGCCTGTAAGCAGCCTACAGTTCTCTAGAATAAGCAGAACATTTAAGAATATGAGAAGTTGCTCTTTAAAGCATGGCATTGTTCTGGGTTTCAGTGGTATAACAGAACTCGACTTCCACAGGATGTAAAAATCAATCACTCCCCCACAACCTCCTTCTTTGTTTCCATTGGAAGTCATTAATTAACACATCTTGGAGATCTTTTATGACTCAGAATCTAAGGAGAGTCCTGAAAACTATTATTTGGTGGAAAGGCCAGGAAAATCCAACAGCTGTCATTGCAGGAAGGATTAGTAATCCACCCACTTACGGGAAAAATCTAAACAAAAAATAGATTCAGGTCTTGCCTTTAGAGCACCCGAAATGTATGACAAAGATTAGCCTATAATATTGGCAGAAAAGTGTTACTTCTCTAATCATTAAATTGCCATTTTTGCCAAGTGTTTTTAAGACATTACAATGAAAATTTAAGTGTGGGAAAATCTACATGAAATCATAAAATCTAACATTTCTCTTCATAACAGAATATTGAGGGTGATATTGAAACTGGAGACCTAGATTTCAGAATCTTCTGCCTAAAGCTGCAGACACTCTATAAATATTAGCTATCAGACTGCCCCAGATACAGGTGCCATCCTTATCTCTACTTTCCTCTGAACTGCACCATTTCCTTCACTTGGGTTATCTACATAATTTACTCATTTACCCGTTTACCCAAGGGGAGCCTTGTAAGTTACAAACATCTTACTGTTTCTCTGTATTCATTTTATAATAAAGTCCAAAATGTGCCTCAACTTGACTCCCAAGTCCCTGATGTGACCCTAAGAGTCTCTGATAGCTTCTTTACTTTGTGGACTTTGTGGCATGAAAAGATGTTGCACGTTCCTCTTATACATGTCTTTGTTTTAGAACTAGAATAAACATGATGAGACCTAACTAATAGCAATGGTAATAAAATTAATAAATTGGACTGAAAGGTTATAAAAAAGACCCAACCAGATACATTTCACTTTTGTAAATATATTAAAACCAAATTTTTAGAATTATAAATTCTAGAAAGTTATGATAAAGTACTAGCATGGACTGGATATTCTAAAGTTCACAAAAAACAAAAATTGCGTAAGTAGTCAAATAGGAACATTATTCATAAAATGTATGAGCATACTATTCACATTATTTTATTACATACATTTTATATATAGTACATATACTATATATAGTAATATATGTCAAAATGCATGAAAGGCTCTGCCAATTAAAATAAACAAATGATGATATTATGTTGCCAGAGTAATTGTTTTTAAAACAACCTATCAATGAAAATATAATCTCAGTTAAAATTGACAATTCAAATCAAAAGGGAAAAGATGGTTTATTTAGTAAATGCTATTAAAACAAATAGCAGTCAATTTAGAAAGACGTAATCCCTACCTCACATCCTACTGAAAAAGTAAATTACAAATTGCTTCTTTGACAAATATATAAAATGAGCCTTATTATAGGCTAGAACAGAGTGAGCACACACGCACAGGAATTCCATTGCAAAAATCAACATGGCTGGTCATACACTAAAAACATCACAAGGAATTAAATCT